GAAAATGTTGGATGAGCACTGGGTGTTATGCTATATATTGGCAAATTGAACTACAATTAAAAAAAAGATGTTAGTCTGTTACAGTCTAGGTAGTACATCAAAGGATTGAGAATTTCCTTTTTTTTTTTAGTCCAATTTTAAGAAGTTTTTTTTTTTTTTGGCATGAATTTTAAAAAATAATGGCAGTCTTTGAACTGAAAGTGTCATCAGCATCACCCAGTAGCTCTTAGAATAGAATCTCAGTCCCTGTTCCAGCCCTACTTACGGCATTAGGATCTGCAGCGGTTCGTGGCTACCTTGACAGGTAGAAGTGCAGGTGACCAGAGTGACATGGAAAACCTGTGATTTTGTCCTTACGCTGGTGCTTCCTGACATGTCTTGGCCATGTGATCACATCCCTTCAGCCTCAGCGACCCAATGTGACACAAGATCATAGGTTCCTGCCTTGTCTGCTCCTGGCCCAGCTGAGGGACCACTGAAAACAAGCACAGCAGGTCACCTTGAACATGGGAAAAACCTGTGCAAACGTCAGGGGAAACGATGAGTGAGAATTCCTACATTTCATACTCAGCCATCACTGGATAATGTGCTTTCCATCAGCTACATCAGCAGCAGAGCAAATGTTCACCTAAAACCTTCATCATGGGATCCCTGGGTGGCGCAGCGGTTTAGCGCCTGCCTTTGGCCCAGGACATGATCCTGGAGACCCAGGATCGAATCCCACGTCGGGCTCCCGGTGCATGGAGCCAGCTTCTCCCTCTGCCTATGTCTCTGCCTCTCTCCCTCTCTCTCTCTGTGACTATCATAAATAAATAAAAATTAAAAAAAAATAAAAATTCTAAAAAAAATAAAAAATAAAACCTTCATCATGCTTCACATGGTGTCTGGTCAGATCCCCCCAAGTTTTCATGGGTCTCTTTGAAAGGCTAGTCTTTCCAGAGTGCAGAATAATAAAATGCCTTCCTGGGGTCTCAGAACTGTTTCCCCTCTTGAGCCCAGGATGGGGTGCAGTCGGTACTCAATGGAGCTTGTTGATGAAACTGCTGATTATCCCTCAGCAAGGTCCAAACACTAGCCTGATGTCCTTCACATAAATCCTTTTATGATAATCAGATTATGTGCATCATTAGAGACTGACACAGCTACAGGAGGACTCTATCATCACTAATAAATACCAATATTCATTAAGGAAACAGACTCCTGATGGCTGAGAAATCCTTTGGTAGTGCTCAGGGATTGAAGTTAGTGCGGTTATTAGCTGTATACAAATATTCCCTTCACCTTGAAATGGGGCAAAGGCAAATAAAACACAGTAGCAAGATATTACCCTCTTTTCCTTGCACACATTTTATTTTTTTATTTTTTTAAGATTTTATTTATTTATTCATGAGACACACACACACACAGAGGCAGAGACACAGGCAGAGGAAGAAGCAGGCTCCATGCAGGGAGCCCGACATGGGACCCCCATGGGTCATGCCCTGGGCTGAGGGCAGGTGCTAAACGGCTGAGCCACCTGGGCTGCCCACTTGCACATATTTTAAAAGCAAAACCAACAGCCAAGAAGCTGTTGGAAAATAAATAGATGAAATTTTAGAAAAACATATCAGCTCAAAGCCTCAGGATGCTGAGAGATGTTAAGCTCCGTGTTGCCCCAGGCCCGTGTGGCTCCTGTTCCAAAGAAATGGTAGTGATTGTCCAGTAGTAAAAGCAAAACATGGAGAAAAATTTCTTCCATGATTCTCCACTGAACCGAGGCACAACAATATTCAACTCAAATTAGGGCAGACTGTCACAATGTCTGCAATTTGTGAAATTATGGACCTTTTTGCTCCTAATTTACTAAATATAGGGAAAATGTGCTGTTTTCTTCTACTAGATTCTTTCTAATTAGCAGTGTTATCTCTAATCATTTAAAAGAACTCGGACTGTCAGTGCTTCAAAATTACTTTCCTTAAAGTTAAAATGTAGTTATGAGGAGTAACTTTATACAGGAGGGAAAATACACATTCAGGTCCACACCTAAAAAGATAGCCTGTCAGTCAGGACCTTGAAAGCAGGCCTTAGCAGAGCGCACGTCATCTCTGAAAACCTGACCATCCCCGATTCTGCCTGTCAGTGTATTATAAGGATGCATTTAATAAGAGATTACAAGAAACACAATGTTACCTTTTTACTTCTTTTTTCAACTTTTTACCTTTAAAAATTTCAACTCAAGAGGGAAAAAATGCCAGAATATGTAACACTATCTCTGTTTTATTTTATTTATTTTTATTTTATTTTTTTTTTTCTTTGTCTTTTTTTAATAATAAATTTATTTTTTATTGGTGTTCAATTTGCCAACATACAGAATAACACCCAGTGCTCATCCCGTCAAGTGCCCCCCTCAGCGCCCATCACCCATTCACCCCCACCCCCCGCCCTCCTCCCCTTCCACCACCCCCAGTTCGTTTCCCAGAGTTAGGAGTCTTCATGTTCTGTCTCCCTTTCTGATATTTCCCACACATTTCTTCTCCCTTCCCTTCTATTCCTTTTCACTATTATTTATATTACCCAAATGAATGAGAACATATAATGTTTGTCCTTCTCCGATTGACTTACTTCACTCAGCATAATACCCTCCAGTTCCATCCACGTTGAAGCAAATGGTGGGTATTTGTCATTTCTGATGGCTGAGGAATATTCCATTGTATACATAGACCACATCTTCTTTATCCATTCATCTGTCGATGGACACCGAGGCTCCTTCCACAGTTTGGCTATTGTGGACATTGCTGCTAGAAACATCGGGGTGCAGGTGTCCCGTCGTTTCATTGCATCTGTATCTTTGGGGTAAATCCCCAGCAGTGCAATTGCTGGGTCGTAGGGCAGATCTATTTTTAACTCTTTGAGGAACCTCCACACAGTTTTCCAGAGTGGCTGCACCAGTTCACATTCCCACCAACAGTGCAGGAGGGTTCCCCTTTCTCCACATCCTCTCCAACACTTGTGGTTTCCTGCCTTGTTAATCTTCCCCATTCTCACTGGTGTGAGGTGGGATCTCATTGTGGTTTTGATTTGTATTTCCCTGATGGCAAGTGATGCGGAGCATTTTCTCATGTGCATGTTGGCCATGTCTGTGTCTTCCTCTGTGAGATTTCTGTTCATGTCTTTTGCCCATTTCATGATTGGATTGTTTGTGTCTCTGGTGTTGAGTTTAATAAGTTCTTTATGGATCTTGGAAACTAGCCCTTTATCTGATACGTCATCTGCAAATATCTTCTCCCATTCTCTAGGTTGTCTTTGAGTTTTGTTGTTTTAACAGAAACACTAATACCCATCTACCTTCCTAATAGTGGTTAACATAGTTACATGCTGACCGTATTTATGCTCTCACTTTCCACCGCCTGCAGCCCTCCCAAACAAGGAGCTGCTCTTAAATAGCCTCAGTAAAATGACCAAATTCAGGACAATTTAACATTGATAATATTCCCACCTAGTACACAGTCCTGGCTGGACTTTTGCCAGTTGTCCCAGGGATGCCCTTCGTAACATTTTCCCCTTGATCCTGGATCTGATCCAGATTCGCACGTTGCATGGAACCGTGGTACCACCCTCCGGTGTCCTTTCAAATGGAAGACCTCCACGTTTCGTCTTTTAATACATTAACATTTTTGAAGAGCACAATGCTTCCTCACAATGCAATTGTGAGACTGTGCATTTGGGGGGAGAAAAATAACTGATGGCTTTCAGAGAGCATCACACAAGTAGGTACCCGGTGGTGACTTGCTCCTTTATTAGTGGGGTAACTGACCACATGGTTGAGGTGATGTCTGCAGAGTCTTTCTTTGTAATGAACCCGTCATTTCTGGCACGGCCAGGAGAATTAATAAATTCTGCTTCCCAGTAAATTTCAGCGTCCATTCAGTTGCCTGATCAGTTATTACTGCTTTGGACAAAATGATGATTTTTCTAGCTTTTTAAAATGTCTTTGCATGTATTAATTGGAATTCTACTATAAAGCAAAGTTTCTCTTCCACCCTCTTTATGTATTTACCCATGTATGTCTTTGTGAACATCAGTAGGGGTTCACAGGTTGTTTTGATACAGTTGGTTATTACTTCTCACTCTCACTATTCATTTTGATGCTCTAATCGTTCCACCTTTGCCCAGTGGGCGCCCCTTCAGTCTCACTCCTAGGCTTGTGTGTTTGTGAGGGCCACTTATTCTTTAGCCCATAGCATATCTGTATTGAAGTTCTTTTCTTTTCTTTTCCTTTTTTTTTTCTTTATTTATTCATGTGAGACACAGAGAGAGGCAGAGACACAGGCAGAGAAAGAAGCAGGCAGGCTCCATGCAGGGAGCCCGATGTGGGACTCGATCCCAGGTCTCCAGGATCACACCCTGGGCTGAAGGTGGCGCTAAACTGCTGAGCCACCTGGGATGCCCTGTATTGAAGTTCTTAATTCAAGTCACTGCCCAAATGACAAATTTTATTCTTAAATCAGATCTTTTTTTTTAAAAAAAAAAAAAAAACTATTGCAATGTCCCAGTTACTATCCAACACATGGTCCAGTGGGAAACCAGACCATTACTTCAGCCTTTACATACAGTAAAGATTATTGTAAGGGGCACCATTGGAATGTCAAAGCAAAGCCCTTTATTCCCTTGGGTTGACTAAAGAAGCTCCTGGGAGAAATTTTATCACCTCCTAGATGTGAAAGATGATTAGAAGTAAATGTGGAGGAGTAAAGGAGGAGGCACCATGGTCCAGGCTAAGGGAAGTACCTATGTCTTTGAGGAATTCCCACCCTCTGGGGAGCCTGTCAGAAATAGCAACAATAGGACCCCATCCCGGACCAGTGAACTCAGGATCTCTGGTGGGGAGAGCAGTCCTAGGGTCCATACATTTTAATTTCCATACATAGCTTCTAGAGAATTTATTATGAGAAATGGCGTCATATGGCATGGAGCTTAAACCTTCACAACTAAAATTTTAAAAGTTCCATTTTATTTTATAGGATTTTGAACTCAACAACGAACTAAAGATGAACGTTCTGAATTTGCTAGAAGAAGTTTTGCGAGACCCAGACCTTCTTCCCCAGGAAAGGAAAGCCACGGCGAATATCCTGAGGTAAAACACAGTTGCATGTTCCTCCTAATGACATTGGTTGCTTTGTGCTGTGTTCTAGAAAATAAGATCCTATTTGACCAGAAAGGAGTATCTTAGATTCCTGGGAGCAGTCGGGATTCTGCTGTCACTGTCAAATGTTACATATCATCTTCTCTCTTCTGGGGGCAGGTTGGTGTCTGCTGCCTCGGGAAGACTTGGCCTGGGAACATAACTTGTGTGGAGACAGGAGTGCAGTTGTTCCTCTCGGTGTGGCCAGACAGTGGTTCACTGCAGCACCAAAAGTGAAAAGGAGGAAGCCTTAAAGGATCTCTCCTGTGACCCCAGCAGGCATTGCAGACAGATGTTTTCCTACTATTGGTTCTAGTTGTTGATTGTAAGCTTGGGTATATGAGCAGGGTTGTAGCATTTCTGTGACATTCCCGTGCCCCTGGCTTGTGGATGTGCCACCATATAGTAGTTATGTGTTTTCTTTAGCTTGTTTCACAGGTCCTAGGTCAGTTTTACTGACAACTTCTCAGGTTAGGATTCCCACATCATGTAGGTTGTATAAAAGCTTGTAGGTGTCATAAAAGCTTGAACTTTGGGTTTCCCATGAGAGACTGTTTGTTTCTGTCATTACACCCAGCATTCAAGCAGGTAACAAACTTTTCTATAGTTTCTTGAACTGATGGGCGGACTTTTTTCTAGGCCATTCTATGGGAGAAGGATACCCATCAGGGGTTTTGTGCAGACATTTTAGTTACAGCTTTCCACCTAATGCATGGCCATATCATCTGTCCCCACATAGGGATGGGAAGCCCAGCATCTATCTGCTAGACCTGATACTCCTTTATCATTTTGACTTCTAGTTTCATCTTCATTTATAATCTCTTGAAGAAGTCCTTTCTTTCTTCTAACCTTGACTATACTGTTTCTTTGTTATTCAGAAGGGAGTCTATCTTAGCTCTACCATGTTTTTGGAAGTCACTCTAATGCAGGGATGCTGGATTTTGGTCTGTGACATTTTAGCAATTGGCTCATGAGTTATTTTTAGTACCATCAGTTCAAGATTCCATCACCAGACCCTTCTTTGGTTTAGGGGCTCTTCTGGGAGTTTATCTTAAGGGAGTTAGTCCTTAAGATAAATCCTGTTTACCATCCCAAGTCTTTATTACTTATCAGGTTTAAGACATGCACATACTTTTTGTTGAATAAATGACCTGAGAATTAGAGGTGTGGGATCAATAAGAAATAGAAATTTTAGGAGATGGTACAGTTGGGACCATGACATGGAGCAGAGTCTGATTCTAACTTTTGCAGCATTCACAGGTATAATCTTGGTTCCGACACTTGGAGATGCCAAGTTTCTCAATGAGTCTAAAACTCAGTCCCCTCATTTGTAAAATGAGGCTAGTGATACCTACTATTGAGTTGTTATGACAATTACATGGTATAATATGTACAAAGAGCTTAACACAATGCCTGAAACATAAATGGCACTCATTTTACTGCTACACTTGTTATTATTATTTTTATTTACTCTGACAGTAACTCTTAGGAAAAATATTTTCTTCCATCAAGCTAATATGGCACAAGTAAAACAAAGCTAGGTCTTAATTAAACTCAAATTTCCTCAGGCTTCTTCACCTTGTCTCTACAAAAGAGATCATAATAACACTAAAAGCCAATTTAATATTGCACAAAGATATGAATGCAATAAAAAAAGAATTCAAATGTATACTTCAAGTGGATGAATTATTTGACATGGGAATTATATCTCAATGTAGTTGTTACACAAAAAACTATAGTCATAACCCACTTGCTATTTTGCAAGAGGAAAAAAAGAAAAAAAAACAAAACAAAAATACAGTTCTACTGATGGGATGCTCCCAGCTGTCCACTCACACTTCTGACCTCTTTCAAAGTCTTCCCAAGAATTCCAGAAGTCCCAAGAACTGTGTGCTAGGAGCAAACCCAGTCTTTTTTCTGCCTCAGCATCTTAATTCAGGTTCACTGCCCAAATACCACCTGAGGGAGAGACTTTATCAGTGCCACCATTGTTTCTGTCAAGAATGCTTTGTCCTGAAGATGGCGCCGAAGGCGAGGAAGGAAGCCCCTGCCCCTCCCAAAGCCGAAGCCAAAGCAAAGGCTTTGAAAGCTAAGAAAGTGGTGCTGAAAGGCATGCACAGCCACACACACACACACACACACACACACACACACACACACACACAAAGAAGATCTGTACCTCACCTACATTCGGACGACCCAAGACCCTGCATCTATGAAAGCAGCCCAAATATCCTTGAAAGAGCGCCCCCAGGAGAAGCAAGCTTGATCACTGTGCTATCAAGTTCCCCCTGACTACCGAGTCAGCCATGAAGAAAATAGAAGACAACAACACACTTGTGTTCATTGTGGATGTCAAGGCCAATAAGCATCAGATCAAACAGGCTGTGAAGAAGCTCTATGCCATTGATGTGGCCAAGGTCAACACCTTGATCAGGCCTGATGGAGAGAAGAAAGCATATGTTCGACTGGCTCCTGACTATGATGCTTTGGGTGTTGCCAACAAAATTGGGATCATCTAAACTGAGTCCAGCTGGCTATCAGTCTAAATCTAAATTTTTTCACACACACAAAAAAAAATGCTCTGTCCTCTAAAGCCATTATTTCCCTATCAAAAAGCTGACAAAGATGCCACCTGCCTTAGGGATCTAAGCCAGATGGGCCCCAGAACAGCCTCACTCAACCCAGAGTCTTGGTGTTGGTCTTTTCCATCTTTGGTGAAAATAGCTCCTTTGGCTCCATCTTTCACCATCACAATTCAAAATCCACCCAAAGAGCCTGCAGGGAATAGATATTTACACCATCCATTCTCCCCACCCCCTGACCTATCTTTTTTCCCATGAGGCCAAGACAAAAGTCTTTGTTTAGCCCTAAGTACAACAACTAAGGCAGACGGATACCAGTGGGGTCAGCAGCTCTTTGACTTAGCAGATAGCCATGCCCTGAGTCCCTCTTGGGTCAGCTGGGTCTCTGAGGCACTCACTTATCTTCCCAACAAGTAAGTGAATATATTTGTGCAAAAAAAAAAAAAATCCTGGTGCAAGAAAACTGACCTTTGATTGAAGCTCTCCTGCCAAGTAATTCATCCCACCTGTGTTAAGTTTCCCAGTCCCTGCCCCAGCATACACGATTGTGATTAGAGGAGGAAGGTACAGTAATTTGTTAGGATTTTTGATAACTTACCATACAGATACTTATGTTTATATGTATGATACTTACATATTTATATTTAAAAAATCATGTCAGAATGATTACAAAGTAGAATAGGAAGGAAGACCTCTATATAACCATCACCAATGAAATACCATCATTCATGAAATCTCTTTGTGAAAATATCTCATCATGGAGTTTTTGAAAAAGAAACAAATCAAAAGGATTTTTTAAAAGATTTTATTTATTTTTTTGACAGAGAGAGAGAGAACACAAGCAGGGGGAGTGGCAGGCATAGGGAGAGGGAGAAGCAGGCTCCCTGTGGAGCAGAGAGCCCAATGTGGGGCTCAATCCCAGGACTGTGGGATCATGACTTGAACCGAGGGCAGATGCTTAATCAACTGAGCCACCTAGGTGCACATCAAAAGGATTATTTAAAAATTATCTGAAAATTGTAACATACGATAATTATACAAAATGGTAATAATTATTATGGAAAATTATAAAGATGTTTCTCTTTCTTTCTTTCTTTAAAGATGTTTTTCTTTCTTCTTTCTTTCTTTCTTTCTTTCTTTCTTTCTTTCTTTCTTTCTTTCTTTCTTTCTTTCCTTTCTTCTTTCGAAAGATTTTATTTATTGATTCATGAGAGACACACAGAGAGAGGCAGAGGGAGAAGCAGGCTCCATGCAGAGAGCCCAGTGTGGGACTGGATCCCAGGACTCTAGGATCACACCCAAGGCCGAAGGCAGGCACTAAACCGCTGAGCCACCCAGGGATCTCCTGTTCATTTATTTCTTAATCTGGAAACAGGGAATTATTTCCAACCCAAACCGGGAGATTTTAGTACTAAATGTTTCCGTGCATGTGTGGACATCTGACTTCAGAGCATACATAGCCATGGGCTCAAGTAAGCCTGGAAGGAAAAAAAGCCATGTGCAAGAAAGCCAAGGAAGGAAGAGTACCAGAAGGTACCAGAAGGGGAAGTAACAAGTGATAAGACCATTCACAAAGTGAGGAGGAGCAGAGACGGAGGCAGGTCATGCCATGGGCATAAGCCGGCCACTCTCAGTAGCAAGCAGGAAGCCCAGAGAGTGTGGACCAGTCTTCAGACAGAGGCCAATTGCTCTCGGCTCTGTTCTTAAGATTTCTACTGTTGATTTCTGATTTCTATCTGTTTCTACTGTTTGATTTCTACTGTTGAAAGAGGACTTTTCCAGTCATAGAACTTGAAAAATCCCATTTCCTTTTAAATTTTTTATTTGGCATTTCATTTATAAATGCAGATATTAAGTTGATCATGCCAACTGGGAGATGTGAGAGAAACCCAGTATCCTGGAGTGTCTGTCAAAGCACTACAGCAGTCAGAAGACTAGGAGCAAGTCCATCCTCTATTGGAACTGGGCCAGAGATAGAGGGGCCTTCACATCTAAGGGAAAATTTGTGAACATACCCCCCAGTGAATACAAGTTGTGGTTGTGAGAGATAAAGACATATCACATTGTAGTTAAATGTAACCCTGACATTAGAGATGTATATGCAGTCAAGCTGTCAAACAATGAGATATGAACATGAACTGTATGCAAACACATATTACGTTTATACAGTAAACTGAAAGCTTCCAATAATAAACCGCTTCTGTCTCACGTAGTCTCACAGGGGTTACTTTCTGATGAAGAAACTTAATTGGCATATCTAGTTTTTTGTCTTGTTTGTGAATAAAAACCTCCGATCAAGACTTCTATTTCTAAAATACTACTTCCTCTCCAACATTGTCTGACTAGGTGGCTCTGAATCTCTGTAGATGTAGATTTTGGTAGACAATGAACATGCCAAAAGATGAAAAAAAAAAAAAAAAACAACCAACAAAGTCTGACCTCATGGGTGGTCAGCTGGAATAGGTTCAGGTCATGAAAAGGTGACTCCCAAGCCTCACAAAGCCCCAAGCAACAAAGATAGGCACTTGGGAAAAGAAAAAATGTTAAATAATTTAACACGACCAGAACACATCTTGAAACATTAGTGTGAGATCACCGAGGAAAGGAACATTTGATAGACGCTAACTAACTCCTTGACCACTTCTTTCCAAGGAAAGACTATTGCCCAGCCTCGTAAAGAAAGATCTTTTCCATGGGTACACATAGTTATGTGGCCACCGATCTCTCTCCAGGAACCTAGACTACCCTGGAAAGAATGACATAAGCTTTGGGAAAGAGTCACTTTTCTCCCTTGTGTGTAATCCTTAAGTGTGATTTAACAGTCTTTGGAGAAAGGCTTGAGTTTGCTTATATTTTCCTCACCTTAATCTGCCTTTTATCATATGATGAGTATTTCTCTCCGCTCACAAATGATACGGCTCATTGCTGGCCAGAGTACTGCTACTCCTGTCATCTAGAAGGAATCTTCTCCCTGGCAAACAGCCAAGAGCTTTTGTAAGAGAGGAAGATAGAGGGAAGAGACTGGACGTTTTGGGATGTGTTCTGTGCTGGATCCTCAGAGAGGTGCCTTTTTACGCTTGCCTAGGACAAGCAAGGGCAGCAGGACAGCACAGCTGACCAAATGTTTGGGCAAGTTAGTTCCCTTGAGCTTTGGTTTCCTCATCTATAAAATGGAGATCATAATGCTTACTTTGAAGGCATATTTTTATGCTACGAGAGAGTGTGTATCAGGTGGCTCACACGTGGTTGGCGTGTAGCAGGTATATAGTAACCCATCTCTGTTGATTTCATATTTTTGAAGGGGTGGTTTTGTTTTCATCAATTCAGAGCACAACGGAACATCACATTGTAATTTCTTTGAAAACTGCCTTCTTCCAGCAGGCAGGCTACGTGACCTGGGACTGTTTAAACATTTTAGTACTTTTAATATGCAATTGTGCCTTCATCTTGGAAAACTTAAAATGCTTGGCCCTGATGGTAAGTTATATAATCAGTATAATTCTCCTGGACTCTGAACTTCTGTTGGACATGAAATATCTCTCCCACTCTGAAACCAGCACGCATTTCAGGGTTAATTAACTTATGCATTTATTCAGTCATTCATCACTGAAAAAAAATATTGAGAGCTGAATAACTGTGTGTGGGGTGCTACAGCACCAAATGCATCTCAGGGAAGTCCATCTGGGAGAGAGAAGAGTTTACCTGCTGGCTTCTGTCTCCCATTGCTCAAATTCTTGCCCCCCCCCCCCACGCTAAGAACTCCCTTGCACTTCTGGTCTATGTGTACACAGGGAGGAGGTAACTCTGCATCTTCTGCTTTGGCATCAGCAGGGAAGGGGCAGGGTGGGTGGTTGAGGAATGTGGATGGGGCCCCAGGCCTCTTGGGATCCCCCACTGACAGTATTGCAGGATGCCTGAACTAACGGCACTGATCCTCTCATGCTCAGGCTTGCTTTGATGGTGGGTGTTTCAACTACCAACGTGTAGGTAACAAGTTGGCTCCCTGGGATAAGTCAGCTCTCTCAATGATCCTCCTGTGCCTTTAACTGTGTGTTTTTCTGTTTCTTTGATTTCCCATCTCCAGGTCACGTCTCTGCAACCTCTAGCGGGCACCACAGCCTAGTGGACCCAAACCTTCCAACTTGCCAGCCAGGGAAAGTTGACATTTCATTCCTGGCGTGTCTGTTGTCTTTTCATGGAGGACATTTTTATTTATTTATTTTTTTAGGGCCCTTTCACAAGATGATCAAGATGACATCCACCTAAAATTAGAGGATATAATTCAACTGGTGAGTCCATCCATGGTCCCATCCAGCACAATTATGTGCAGACTACTTCTCAAAGGCAAGCAATATTATGCCCGTAACTGGTAACTGGGTGCTCCACCGTAGTTCAATTAACCATAGTTCACGGTTCAATGAAGCACCGTGAGATTAACTAAATTTGACTTGGGGCTTAGCAGTTGGTCCATACTGTTAATGTTGGCTGATACTTCTGAGCCTTTTACCATTTTCTTCATAGCTAGAATTTCTGATGGACTTTGTACTGGAGTAGCTGTGGTGAGCTGCTGGGCACCTGCTCTAGGCGTATTTCATTTCCACCTTCCTCTCTTGCAGACAGACTGTCCGAAGGCTGAGTGCTTTGAGACCTTGTCAGCCATGGAGCTGGCTGAGCAGATCACCCTCCTGGACCACATCATCTTCAGAAGCATTCCCTATGAGTGAGTGCAGCCCTCACAGCTGCAGGCCCCCTCAGGCGGGATCTGTGCACTTAGAGCTGCCATTGTTCCTAAGGCAGATGTGGACACCAGAGGTGTGAGGTCTTCGTCCTACGATTGTTTGATCCGATTTCAATGACTTTTGGTCCCAGTTTATGTTAGAAATATTGAGTTGGAAATACTGGGGGCTGTCCAGATGGCCACTCTTATGTTTCTTTATGTTTAGTGGTCCCCATGGCATGTGAATTTCTTTGTACCCTCACATCTTTGCATTACATAAACCTCAATATGGCTCCAACAGCAGTTCTCAGACTTCATGGTGCCTAAAATCCTTTGGGAAACTTGTTAAAAATGTATATTCCTACATAGCCCTTGCAGAGATTCGGATTCTTAGTAGGATGGAGGCCCAGGAAACCTTTTTCATTGAGAACCCCATTGACAACTGAGTGATCTAAGACTATACTTTGAGAAGCACTGATGTTGGGTAAAATCTGTAAATTCAGCTCCAGTTATTCATTCACCTCCATGAATCAACAAGTATTGCTGAACTTTGAGTCTCTACAACAGTAGAGACAGATTTCCAAGACGGAGCTTTACCTGGGGTGTGTGTGGAGAGAGAGCTGTGCTGTGTGAGCTGCTCTGCGGTGAGCATCCATACGTATCACCACTTTCAGTTTCTCATATAGAGCACGAGGGGCCCCTCTGGCCCCTTCCAGCTGCAACAGTCAGTAGCTCCACAAGCAAGGCCTTTGTTTGGACATACGACAACTGATGGCACACGTACTTGAAATAGCTAAATGAAGGGTAAAGGAGGGGCTGGGCAAGAGATACAAATGTGACCCATGTCATGGGTAGAGAAGGAGGGCATCATGATGATGTGGGCTCAGACATGGCAGTGGTCAGAGCTACAGCTATGTCAGAGAGGTAATAAGGGGCAGAAGATGCCCCTGCAGGGTTTTCTTTATGCATTGTATCTTCTCACCCTCCCCCTGTCTCTACCCATGAACAAGAGGGGAGGGGAGCAAAATGTGACCTATTGGCTATACAGATGAATCCAGTAACTACTTGAAGACTTGAGGTAGAAACCACAGTGCCATGGGGTGCCTGGGTGGCTCAGTCGGTTAAGGGTCAACTCTTGATTTAGGCTCAAGTATGATCTCAGAGTCTTGAGATGAAGCCTCACGCCAGGCTCTGTACTGGGCATGGAGCCTGCTTGAGATTCTCTCTTTCTCCCTCTGCCCCTCCCCTCCTTGCATTATCTTTCTGTCTCTCTCTCTAAAAGAAAAAGAAAAAGAAAGAAAGAAAGAAAGAAAGAAAGAAAGAAAGAAAGAAAGAAAGAAAGAAACCACAGTGCCTCTGCTGCCTGCTACCTCCTGACTCTCCTCTAGTGCAGTGGGGATTTAGTGGGGAGATGAGTGTGATCACCATAAAGGAAGAGAAAGAGCAAAGGCCAAACCCCCATGGTTGATCTCTTTCTGGGACTCTCCCTTCCACTCCTCTCCTCCCTGTGCTCTCTGATGTGACCATCTACCAATTATTTTCATTTATGGAACTGGCACCCTTTTATGTCCAACAGCCTTACAGAACTTGAAGGAATAAAAAAAACCTTTTGCAGGGACTCAGTCAACATTTCTGGATTAAGAAATCCAGAGTCAGAGTAATTTCTTTCTTTCTTTCTTTCTTTCTTTCTTTCTTTCTTTCTTTCTTTCTTTCTTTCTTTCTTTCTTTTCTTTCTTTCATGATAGTCACACAGAGAGAGAGAGGCAGAGAGGCAGAGACACAGGCAGAGGGAGAAGCAGGCTCCATGCACTGGGAGCCCGACGTGGGACTCTATCCCGGGTCTCCAGGATCGCACCCTGGGCCAAAGGCAGGCACCAAACCGCTGCGCCACCCAGGGATCCCCCTTTCTTTCTTTTTTTTTTTTTTTTTGAAAGATTTCGTTTATTTATTCATGAGAGACACAGAGAGAAAGGCAGAGACACAGGCAGAGGGAGAAGCAGGCCCCCCAGGGGGAGTCTGATGGGGGACTGGATCCCAGGACCCTGGGATCACGACCTGAGCCGAAGGCAGATGCTCAACCGCTGAGCCACCCAGGTGCTCCTGTGTCAGAGTCATTTCATTTCAGGTTACGTGTAGTCATGCCTATACAGAATACTTCCTGCATGCTCCAGCTTAGCTGTCCATTGCCTTCTGTGATCAGTGAAGTGAAGGAGCAGGGAGGTTATTCAGAAGACAGACCTTCCACCGGGCTGAGCTCCTACCACTGTAACTGCCTTCACCATATGATGTGGTAGCAGCAGTGTTTATTCCGCCTTCACTGTGTGTCCTGTTCTGGGCTCTGGGGAGAGCAAAGGAATATCCCTGCCCATGGAATTGACATTGTCCTGGAGAATATCAGAGCAAAGTGGAGGAAAACACATTATTCATCATTAACATTTTTCATAGTGATGGATTTTTCAGCCCTTCTACTAAGGCTTAAAAATTTTTTAAGCTGATCCAGGGAAAATAATCTTGGTTCCTGACTTGGTCCTTAGCCTCTTTACTCTTCTTGAATTGGTCATTGTGTTCCAATTTCAGAGAAGTCTTTATCATGATCCTAATACAGAGTTCCAAACCTTTATAAGAGAAAGGTGGAAATTGAAAACCACTTTTCCATTTGGCATCAAGCGGTAAAATCGTGGAGATGAGCCAAAATTCATGTGAGAGGATCAAATTTAATGTATATAATATTCAGGCTCATTGTTCGAGATTGTAGCCACCTTTTAAAAAACTGAATTGGTTTTCTGTTCTCTTTTGCACTTACAGAGAATTTCTTGGGCAGGGGTGGATGAAGCTGGATAAAAATGAAAGAACACCTTACATTATGAAAACCAGCCAACACTTCAATGATGTGAGTAACCTAAAATTAAAACGTAAGGCATGTTATAGAAGATGAATATCAGGGTCTTAAGACTTCTCTAAAATTAAGCAAATCTACCACCCACTCTTTAAACAAAACTGACAAAATGTTTCTTTAAAAAAAAAAAAAAAGCTTGTATTTTCTCTAATTGCTCACAATGATGTAATAACTTCCAGTTAACTTCCAGACCTAAGAGATTCACTTTTGATGGTACCCAAGTCTGGTAAGTGCCCAGTGACGCATAGATTGCTGCTCTATTGTTATAATCATCATTACTTTGTGGTTATACATTGACTAGTTCTAATAGCACATGTGTCCCTGGTCTCTAGTGGTGCTGGTGACAGTAAGGCTGGATTAGTAGAAATCATCCCCATTATTACCGAACACTCAGGACACATGCATTCCATGGTTGGCAGGGACCCCTTGGAGCATAATTACAGTGTTACTGCAGCTGTGCACAATGGTGACCAGCTGTTGGTCCATCTCCCTGCCTTGCTTTTCTCCAGCAGTAAGACAGAGTTACTTTTATACCCACCAACTCCTAATTGGCTTTGTCCTAATGATTTTCATCCTTTGGCAGAACCACATAGGTGGGAGTGTCTTCAGGCCTATCTAGGCAAAGGGAAGGCTCCCTTTCCAGTTCTACTAAAATACAGTAAGAGGAATAATGATGATGTTAAAAAAGACCATCAGGATTCCCCGTGGGCAAATTAGTCATCCAGCATCAAAATACAAAACAACAGTGTAGATTCCCAATACAGTGCTTTGTGCAGGGTACTTGCAGAGTCTGTATTTACTGAATGAATGTTCTCGCATTCCTAAAGGACAGGACGCATGACCCCTCTAGGCTACTGTCTGAGAAGCAGAGCCCCTGCTGCAGAAAATAAGTTTCTATGGTCTGTGCCATCCATACACTTGCGATATAATGGACAATCAAATCATAAGTTTCATCCCAGATTCCAGACCCTCACATCTCCACTTGGATGGCTACTTGCACCGTGCCTTCAACAGATTGCAAATGGAACTCAGCATTAGTACCTCCAGGACCTGCCAAGCCTACTTCTTCATCTTACACTATGTTCTTAGTCTTTCATGGTGGCCCAGACAACGCACTCACCCAAGCACAGAATCTAAAGGTCATCTTTGACCCCTTCTCTGTCACCTACCCCACCTCACTCCTCAATATATTAGTGAGCTCTAAATCTACATATGCCCCAGACCCTTCTGTTCCTCTTCTTTCCTACTGCCATAACCTCGACTTGACCTTTCACCCTTTGTCCAGGAGCTCCTACATCACTATCTCCACGGTCATCTCATTGCCCCCAAACCCATTCTTCACACAGTGTCACGGAAATAACTTTTCTGAAAGACTGATTATAACACTTTCATGACAAAATCCTGTCAATGACTTCCCCTCACCTTCAGGATGCAGTTCCAGCTACTCAACATGGCCTACAAGAGCCCTGCCTACTGGGCATCTGTGTCTCTCTCGAGGCTTCCCTGTGCTCCTTAGACAACTGCCAGGTCCTTTGTTACACCTCACCTTCTACCTCTGTCCCTCTCCAAATGTTCTTCTCCTTTAATGGAAAGCAGTGGCTAATTTGTGCCCATCCTTTAGGACTCAGTGCAGGGATGACCTCTTTCTGGAAGCCTCCTCTCTACTAGCCAGATGCCCCCTGCTATCTCCAGGTCCTCAAATCTTCCATGTAGACTTAGCTTTGCATTTCACTACATGATACTTGTCTGTGTCTGCCTCCCTTCACCTTTCCACCTAACTAGGCTCAGTACCTTGAAGTCAAGGATGCTGATTTATTTGTTTTTCCTGTTCTCAGAACCTAAAGAATGCCTACTCCATTCTAGGTGCTCAACACAAAATAATTTTTTAATGAATATGTACAGTGATAATTTTGAGACATCTGAAATACCTATGGAATGGTCAGAGAATCAGTATATTCGCCAAATAAAGTGTATGGATATAAGATTACAGACCCTGCGTTCCCTTTGTTAGTAATCAGCCCTCAACTGTTCTTTTCCTTTCTGTATTCTAAGTGTTGAGCTGCTCCAGCTGCTTCTTTTTCTCTTGGTTTCAACTAATAGAATTTTGGTACTTAGCCTTGAAACTATAGGTCCTATTAACTCTGGTGGGAAAAAGATCCAGTGAGATAAGATGGAGTAAGTGTTATCTCTTCCTCTGACCCTAATGTGTCTGGCTTGAGAGCGGATCCGGTTAGAGTTTGATTTGACTGGGGGTAAATATGTTTTCTTATAAGAAGTAAGTGGGGCTTCCTGGTCCCCACATGTCAGGGGCGAAGAAACATGTGGAGGGGCTCCAAGGAGTGAAACCCATAACCCGGGAAGGTTGCCATTCCTCAGGGGTTAGCTCATTCTTTTCCATTTCCTCAGTGATTACTGGAAATAACTCCTGCATCAAAATTACTGATTAAAAAAATGACCTGGTCCCCCAACACGTTGATGCCAAACAATCCCTCTGTCCGCTTCGAGGATGAACAGATTCCCATTAGTTTCTTCTTCTTATTATTATTACCACACACACTTTAGTCTTTTAAGAAGGTTGGTATCTAAATAGGAACTTTGATCTCCATCCCGCTCGGCACCTATTTTCCTGACAGTTCTATGGTTAATTAGGCACTTTGCCTGAATGCGTTCCTTTGGCTCTTAGCTGGCGTCTCTTGGCTTTTCCATTGTCTCAGATGAGTAACCTGGTGGCCTCCCAGATAATGAACTATGCGGACGTCAGCTCACGGGCCAATGCGATAGAGAAGTGGGTGGCCGTGGCAGACATCTGCCGATGCCTGCACAACTACAACGGCGTGCTGGAGATCACCTCAGCCTTAAACAGAAGTGCCATCTACCGGCTGAAGAGAACCTGGGCCAAGGTGTCCAAGCAGGTGAGCGCCTGCATGCCACCCAGCCTGCTGCGGAGAGGAGAGGCCCAGAGGAACAGTACTAATTAGGAAATAATTAACTCAATTGAGCGGCTCAGTTGCCAAAGAAAGGGGCCAGTGTGGGTAATTACTGCGTTCTTATCACTTCGTTGATGCCACTCATGTGCCCTTCTAATTGGTTAATTTGAAAAGCAAATGCAACCCAAAACATGCATTAAAACATACACAGGGCACTGGGCGCCTGGGTGGCTCAGTTGGTTAAAGGTCTGCCTTTGGCTCAGGGCATGATCCCAGGGTCCCGGGACTGAGTGCCACATCGGGCTCCCTGCTCAGTGGGGAGCCTGCTTCTCCCTCTGCCCCTTACCCTGCTCACCTGTACCCAGGTACACACACACACTCTGTCAAGTAAAATCTTAAAAAATAAAAGCAAAACATATAGGGGGACAGCCTCAAATGTTGTAGTTGATAGTCAGGAGTTGTTTCCTGATTGAGGGAAGACACCTTGATTCCAATGAATGGAGCGATGTCCCGCGGGTCCACTCTTTCTCCCCAAAGTAAGCAAAGAAATGCCACAGGGCCTCAGTGTTCACTTTTTTTAGTTGTTTTCTTTGGTGATTTATGTAGTAAAGTTTTGTCGTAATGACTTAGGTGTGCAGAAAACGTTCTTTATTTTCTTTTAATTAGACTCAGCTTGTTCATGCCTGTCATTTTCATTCAGTATTTTTAAGATTCAAATGAAATCACGATCTCCCCTTTGCCCTTTCTCCCGGCCTTCTTCCCAGGTGTTGGGGGGGTGTTGAGGGGAGGTCTCCTCTGGGCTTCTGGGAGCTCACATGCACCCACTGGTCTCCTGTTGTAGTCTTCTACTGGTTGGTCACTGGGTGCAGGCTGCTGTGAATTGCATGTGCCCGTTGTATGTATGTTCCTGCCTGGCCTGTCCAGAACAGGGTGGCTTAGCTGATCTCACCTCCCGTTGGGCCCTCCCTGGCTCTCCCTGGCTCCTCCGAGCTGGGTGTGTCCTGCCTCTCCTACAGGCTGCCCTGCCCTTGGTAACACCTGGTGGGCAGGCTAACTCTTCATCAGTAGATAACTACCTTAGCCCTCTCAAAGGGCACTGGGAGAATTTTCTAGATTCCTTCACATCCTGCTGGTACCAGAGGCAAATTCTTTTGTCTGTGAACAAAGTCTTGGACCTTGCAAATAAAAGCCACAGCTTTTATAAGTACTGTTTTAAAAACAAACAACACTTTTTATGCTGAGATCATTGTAGCTTCACATACGGTTTGGAAGAAATAATAGAAATCCCCTGCATCTGGCACCTCGTGCCCCCCAGTGCAACCTCTCATGTAACTGTGAACATCCCAGTCACAAAGTTAACATTGCTAACATCCACTAACCTTATTCAGATTATCTGTTTTACATATACTCATTTGTGCCTGTATTTACTTTTATGTACTTGTATTACCCTAGCAGTCAAGATACAACGCGGTGTTCTTACCAGGATCCCTCCTGCCACCACCCTTTTAGTCATAGCCACTTCCTGCCTGCCCCCTCCTTAACTCCTGGCAACCAAAAATCTATTTTCCATCTCTATAAAATTTCATCATTTCAAGAACATTATATAAGTGGAATCATATGGTATGTGACATTTTGAGATTGCCTTTAAAAAATTCCCTTGAGATCCATTCATGTATCAATACTTAGTTTCTTGTTATTGCTAAGTAGTACTCATGGTATAAATGTAGGACATTTTAACCATTCACCCCTTGAAGAACATCTGGGTTGTTTTCCGTTGGAGCTGTTACAAATAAAGCTGCTATGCACATTCACATCTAGGTTTTGTGTGACTGTAAGTTTTCGTTTCTCTGGGATAAATGCCCAAGAGTGCAAATGCTGGATCATATGGTAATTGTGCATTTAGTTTTATAAGAAACTGTCAAATTCTTTTCCAGGGTGACTGTACCATTTTATACTCGTATCAACAAAGTATGAGTGAACCAGTTTCTCCGAATTCTTGCCCACATTTGGTGTTATCACTGTTTTCTATTTTAGCCATTTTGATATCCCATTATTGTTTTAATTTGCATTTTCCTAATGGCTAATGATGTTAAACATCTTTTCATATGGTGGTTTACCATCTGTTTATCCTCTTCAATGAAATGTCTGCAGCTCATTTTTTAATTGGATTTTTTTTTTTTTTTTTTACCTTTGAGATCTGGGAGTTCTTTCTACATCCATCCCACTTTATTCTGTTGCAAAATTATTTTAGCTACTCTAGGTGGAGAGGCCCCAAGGAATGCCTTTCCATATAAATTTTAGTAAAAAAATTATGTCTAAAAAACTTTACTGACATTTTTATGGGAATTTCATTAAACCAGTCAATTTGAGAACTGACATCTTTACCCTGTTGAGTCTTCCAGTCCACAAACACAGTCTGTCTCCCCATTTCTTTAGGCTTTCTTTGCTTTCTTAAATCAGCATTTTGAAAATTTCAGCATGTAAGTCTTGTATAAGTTTTTTAGATTTTTGTCTTAAATATTTCATTTTCTTTAGAGAAATTTTAAATGTTATTGTGGTTTTAATTTTGGTTTCCACACATTCGTTGTTAATATATACAAATGTCATTGATTTTTTGTGTGTGTATTGGTCTTCTGTCTGCAACCTTGCTGAACTCACTAATTAGTTCTAGGAGCTTTTTTTTTGTAGATTCCTTGCTGTTTTCTACATACACAATTGTCACTTGTAAATTAGGAATTATCTTATTTCTTTCCAATTCATATGCTTTTATTTCCTTTTCTTGCCTTATTGCTCTAGCTAAACTTCTAATACTATGTTGAATAAGGGTGGTGAGAAAGGACATTCTTCCCTTGTTTTCAATCTCATGAGGAAAGCATTTAGTCTTTCACCATTAGGGATAGTGCTAGCTATAGGTGTTTTGTAAATGCTTTTATAAAATTGAGGAAACTACTCTCTTCCTAGTTTTTTGAGAGATTTTATGATGAATGGGTGTTAGAATACTATTTTTAGTTTTAATTTTTTTTTAAGATCTTATTTACTTATTTGAGAGAGAATGAGAGAGCATGGGCAGGGGAGAGGGGCAGAGGGGAGGAGCAGAGGGAAAGGAGCAGCAGACTCCCCACAGGGCAGGCAGCCCAACTAGAGGCTAAATCCTAGGATCCTGGAATCCTGACTTGAGCTGAAGGCAGACTCTCAACCAACTGAGCCACACAGGTACCCCTAGGATACTGTTTTTAAAACGGGCTTCAAGCAGCTATTTCAGAATCTAAAAGCTGGACACTGATGCCCCTGTTGTGGCTAGATTTTGCCTCCTCCTAAAGGGATGGTAGCCTTAGCCGTTGGGCACAGGATACAAAGAGCATATTCTCCTGTCATAGATATTGTCACACTTCATCAAGATCAGCAAGTCACACTTCTGCCTTCTCTTTAATTCTCCTTCCCCTATTTTTTTTTCATCTGAGTTGATACCAAGAGATTCTTAAATCATCTTTAAGAAAATATTAGGCCGGGGCGCCTGGGTGGCTCAGCGGTTTGGTGCCTGTCTTTGGCCCAGAGCATGATCCTGGGGTCCAAGGATCAAGTCCCACATCAAGCTCCCTGCATGGAGCCTGCTTCTCCCTCTGCCTATGTCTCTGCCTCTCTCTCTCTGTGTGTCTCTCATGAATAAATAAATAAAATCTTAAAAAAAAAGAAAATATTAGGCCTCTGATCCAGCAATTGCACTACTAGGTATTTACCCAAAGGATACAAAAATACCCATTCAAAGGGATACGTGCACCCCGATGTTTACAGCATCATTAGGATAGCCAAATTATGGAAAGAGTCCAATGTGCATTGACTAATGAATGAATAAAGAAGATGCGGTATATATATATATACTGCACACACACACACTATACACACACACACTAAATTGGAATATTAGCAGTAAAAAGGAATGAAATCTTGCCATTTGCTATGACGTGGATAGAGGTAGAGAGTATGCCAAGGAAAATAAGTCAGTCAGAGAAAGACAGATACCATATGATTTCACTCATATGTGGAATTTAAGAAACAAAACAGATGAACATGGGGGGGAAAGAGAGGAAACTAGAGAACAGACTTAACTATAGAGCACAAACTGAGGGTTACTGGAGTAGAGGCGGGAGTGAGGGATGGGTTAACAGGTGATGGGCATTCAGGAGGGCACCTGTTGTGATGAGCACCAGGTAGTGTATGTAAGTGACGAATCACTGAATTCTACACCTGATACTGAATGTCAATTAACTGGAGTTTAAAGAAACATTTGAGGAAAGAAAGGAAAATATTAGGACTTTCTTGTGGTTGACTTAAGTGAGATTCATGTCTTTGACACGCTGCAGCTTTAGGAATAACTGATGATGGAATAGGGTGATAAGACTAATATCGAAATTATTTTTTTTCAAATTTGAATATACTCCGATAGAGGCATTAAATAGAATATACCATTTCAACCACATGTATGTATCACTTGAAGTGGCTTTAGGATGAGTGAGGGACTATCCTCCAGGGCCTAGGACCTCAGTCTAGTCACCATAGGTAGTGCCTGGTTGTAGGTAAGTTCCACTTCAGACACTCTCATCATACTGTCTGCTCTCTAGCTGTCTCTTCTTCCGATCTGAGTCCTGTCTGGGAAACATCCAGAAGGCCTTGTGGAATGTGTAGTCTGGAGTCCACCAAATTTGGTCTGTGACTATAGGACAGACTATATTTCTGCAGCTTCTTTCTCCCCAAGGATAGCTCTGGGCCTGGCAAGAGGCCTATCCAGCCCCATCCCATTTCCCCACACCTATGTCCCTGCCAGGCCTTGCTGGCTGTCTTCTTTCAGAGTCCTCAGGAACCAGGATGGAGAAGGAAGCCCTTTGAGTCATTTTGAAAGCTCTTGTGAAGCATGCAGCTCCTCTCCAGATTGAGGCAAATTAGTCTGAGGTGTTGCAGATTGGGCATTCCAGGTGCCTTTCCCTGCCAACCTGCCCGGGCATCGGTATTACCAGGAATGCATCATCACCCCCAAGGGCCACCCTACCATTCTCTCATGTCCATGGAAGAAACTCCAGATCAATATCAACAACAGTTTTATTTCTGGTAAATGTCACTTAAACTTTTCTAACAAGTTGATGAAGATGATCACAAAACAAAGGGTTGTAGCAGAAGACAGCCAAGCAACCAAATCTGTGTTTTGATGATTTGGAAATTAACACCCAAAAGATTCACCATGAAAACCACCTGACATGAAACCTCTCCTTTAAGATTCCGTAATTCAACATGTGCTTTTTCAAGTCTTTAAATCTCTAAATTTCTCATGCATTGCAATTTTTCATTTTCCTCTTTTTGACTAAATGAGCAGTGTAGTCAGTTTCTCTTCTTCACATGCTTGTTTCTTTTTTTTAATCAATCAAATTAGATGATAATGCCCCATGTCTGTATTTTGAAAATAATATCATATCACAACAGTCTGATAGGTATCAGCACCTGCAACTGTAGAAGGGAATTGAGTATCTCTTGGTAACTTACCTATCTTGTCAAACCAAAGGAGTATTTTTATGACATGCTAAGTCGTTTGTTTCTTTCTAGACAAAAGCTCTAATGGACAAGCTTCAGAAGACCGTTTCATCTGAAGGAAGATTTAAAAATCTCAGAGAAACCCTTAAAAAGTATGTTTATCTCAACTACTAAGTTATTCACAACTCAGAAATATATTTTAAAAATGTATACAGTATACAAATAGTGGCCTACCTCCTACTTGAAAAAAAAAAACAAATGGGAAATGACTTCCATCATCTAGGTATTTTCCTGATTTTTCTTTACATTTGAAATACTATGCATACAGTAATTGTCTTGTAAACAGACACGTGGCATGCAGACTATCCCAAATAAGAAGAAAATAACATCAGCTTTTACTCCAAAATAAAAGCATCTTTTACTATAAAAAGTTTATTGATTTGGTATTTATTAACCTAAACACAATGAGGAGACTGTGGTTTGCATAGTTTGACCAGCATCAGTTAGCAAGTGTTCTTGCTGGGCCTCAGACCCAGTTCTCTCTGGTTCAAAAGCCTGTGTCCTCACTCTTGACTCTGAGAAGACCAAGGTAACCCCCTAAAAAAAAAAAAAAAAACAGAGAAGGCATCGCCTTAGAGTGCAATGGAGATATCCATTAACATCAAATATCATCTTGTAAATATTGAAATGTTACCTTGTAAAACATTGAAATACTAACCAAAACAGAAAACAAGTTTTACAAGCTCTAACCACATTGATTTTTCTTCCCAGTTCTTTAAGCTTCCTGCATGCTCTTACTCCTGGGAGAAGTATGGCCAGGTTACAAGTACTGCAGACAAGTACTGCTAAGCACATATTTTGTATTTGTCTGCAAGACATCCTGTTGTTTGAACATGCCATTGTCTCAAGCACATTGTAAGATATAGGCTGTAATTTTATATTAGATTCTGTTGTGAGATGTATTGGAAACTCAATATCATGAGTATGCTTGGGAAGACGGAATTACAAGGCTTTATTCTTCAGGATTGAAGCAGCATAGTTGCTTCCTGTGAAACAGGGGAGGGGAATCGTTGCTTGTGTGAATGAGCCTGAGAACAACGTCTCTTGGTTTTGCAGCTGTAACCCCCCAGCTGTTCCTTATCTGGGGATGTACCTGACAGACCTGGCCTTTATTGAAGAAGGAACACCAAACTTTACTGAGGAAGGCCTCGTTAATTTCTCCAAAATGAGAATGGTAGGTAATAATTTCATCATCTGCCTGATGCAGCGATTCCAGTGGCTTATAGGGAAGAGGCTTAGTCAGGGAGGTCACTGCTTTTGCATTTTGAGGCAGCGGGGATAAGGGACACTGGGTTTAATTAATCTGCTGTGGCTGATTGAAGTGATTTTCAGCAGGGTTGTTTCAGCTTGCAGCCTGGGCAAAGGGGCGGGGAATAAAGCTCCAGGGACAACTGTCTAAGACAGACCAGTGACACACAGATGTGGAAGGCTTCTTGCTGGACAACCAGGTTCTGAGCACCAAGATAGAAACAAGGAGCCCAAGGACAGTAATACCCCAAGCTTGCCACCTCTGAACTTGAGGGCACACCCAGTGCCAGCTGTTCCTCTGATTGTGAATTCAGTGTCTTGCTGCATTTCACGTGGCTCATTGAAGGGCAAGAAAGCCCTGGCTGGGCACAGAAAATGATAGGGCAGGGCTCTGACCCTTTCCTGGGGGGGGAAGTCAGCCCTTGCCTACTTGTGAGCAGGGCCAGGAAGAATGTGTGGCGATACAAGGAAATATTTTTGCTTTGCTTTTGTTGTTATTGTTTCTCTATTAGATATCACACATCATCAGAGAGATACGCCAATTCCAGCAGACTTGCTATCGAATAGACCATCAGCCAAAGGTAATATCATGTGGTTGTTAAGGGGACTAATAAACAGTGGGAATTTATGAATTAGAAACAGTGGTTAAGTTGATTGATAATATCTAAAGGTGACTCACAGAAAAGACCAATTGAATAGACAAATCTTTGGCAACTCTGATTAAGCAAGCAAGCAGGCAGGCAAAAAGAACATCAATTTATCAGGTTCTATCTGTTGTATATTCTGTATTCTCGTGAACCTGTCTACACCATCACCACCCTGGTCCAAGCCACCAATTATCTGTTACCTGTCTACTTGCATTCACTCTAGAATGCAAAGTCCATTCTACAAATTGCAATCAGATAGAACTCTCTGAAACACAGAGGAAAATGTTTGTCCCTTGCATAAAATATTACATAGATTTTTCATTGCTCTTAGGATGAAGAAAGAAAAAGTCTTGATGTGTCTCGTAAGTCTTAGGTTATATGGCCCCTGTCATCTTTCAGGATGTATCTCACATCATGTACCCCCCTTCTTCCTCTGTTCCAGCCACAACTGGCCTTTCTTTCTTTCTTTTTTCATTTTTAAATAGGTATTATTTTTTAGAATCATTTTGGCTTTACAGAAAAATTGAGAGGGTAGTACAGAAGATTCACGTATAACTCACAGCCATGTTTTCCTTATTATTTCATGGAACTTGACAAACTTACTGTGAAACTCATAAGTCAGCTTAGATAAGCCAAAAAAAAAAAAAAAAAGAAGAAGAAGAAGACAAGGATTTTTTTTGGAAAAAATAAGAGCTTTTCCTACCAGATACACACGCATTTCCTAAAGCTATAGTGAATAAAACAGGAGTACATTGGCATAAGAATACAAATTCAGTGGAGTGGGATGTAGTCCAGATGCAGATTTTGTCTATATGAAAATCTAATATGGAATAAGGGAGGCATTTAAAGAAAGTGCCAGAAAGAAATTGACCAGTCAAGTAAAAGAATAGGAATTTTGGCTCTACAGCTGATAAGTCACACACACAGAAAAAGTCCAGATGAGTTCATTACCTAAATATAAAAACAAATATTAAATTATTTGCATAAAATATAGTACAAAATATTCACAACCTTTAGATTTGAAGGATCTTCCTAAATACAGAACATATGAACTGTAAGACACAAGCTTGAATAAGTTTGCTGCATCAAAATTAAACTTTGGTATGACAAAATGCAATTATTTAAAAAGCAAAAATAAAACCAGTCAACTAGGAGATGATTGTTTTGAAAAAAAAATTTTTTTTTGTGAGAGAGAATGAGAGCAAGAATGGGGTGCTGGGTGGGGCAGAGGGAGAGGAAGAGAGAGAGACAATCTTAAGCAGGCTCCATACTCAGCACAGAGTCTGACCAGGGGCTCGATCTCACAACCCTGAGCTCTTCACCAAAATCAACAGCTGGATGTTTAACTGAGTGACCCAGGCACTCCTAGGAGATGATAATTGTAATAGGTAGAAACAAAGAGACAGAATAAAAGTCTTTCTATAAGTCTGTAAGAAAAATATAAACAACTCAATCGAAAAATCAGCAAAATTATGAACAGGTGAACTCACAGAATAAGAAACAAAATTAGCCAATAAATATTTTTTAAATGCTCAACTTCACTAGTGAGAAGGGGAAACACAAATTATAATGAGGCATCATTTCCACCTTATAGATAAACACAATTTTAAAATACTGGAAACCCGAACATTAGTTTGTGCACAATAATACCGGGTACTGCAGTTTCAGAGGTTATTTTGCATCACCTGTTAGAATTAAAAATTGATGAACTGAACAACCACAACTCTTCTACATTGCTGGCGAGAATAACATGGTTCATCCACTCTAGAAAACTGTGTCCTGTGGATATTTCTTAAAACATTAAATATGCATCTATCTGATGTCCCAGGAATATCCCTCCCAGGTATTTATCCAGGGGCACATGACAACATGGCCACTGAAAGTCTTGTATGAAGTGTTCATAGCATTTCTTAATAATAGCCCCGAACTGGAAACAGCCCAGGGGTCCATAAATAGGTGAATGGATCGACAGATGTTGTGTGTCTCACAGGAGACACAAGAACAGGGCAAACTTGTGATACTTGCCACAGCCTGAAAGGACTTCGGAAGAGCACACTGGGTGAAGGAAGCTAGACACACAAGTATATGCTGTAGGGTGTTATACTATATGTCGGCAAATTGACTTTACATAAAATATTTCTTAAAAGATAAGTACATACTGTATGCTTCTGCTTCTATAAAGTTCTCGAAAAAAGAAAAGAAAAACACACACACAAAAAAAACAAATTCTTGAGTAGACCAAACTAATGCGTGGTAATAGAAATCACAGCCATGGCCGCTTCTGGGAGCAGACAGGGAAGCTGAATGAGCACTTCCTGGGGGAGTGGGGTTGTCCAACTGTGATATCGATGTAAAGCTGAGCGGACCATGAGCTATGCCTACGTAAGTTTTAGCTCAATAAAAGTAAAGAACTATTTCCACAGAAATACACCAGGCCCCAACATTCTTATTTTAGTGTCATTTCCTTTCCTTTCACTTCTCATGTCTACTAGAAGTGAATGCACGTCCCCAAGGAACATTCCCATGTGAGCACCAAGCAAATGTGCTAACGACGATTTTACTGTCACTTTGTGTGATAGTGAAATGTCAAGAGCAAACACCCCTCTCGATAAAAAGTTGTTGACTAAACTGGTGGATCACATATTAGTGCTGCACAGCGTTCACACTCTGTGGACCGACGAGGGGAGCTCTCCCTGCCTCACAGTGAAGATGTGAAAGCAGAGTAAGATGTACCTTAGGATTACAAGGGGAAAACAGGTTTCTGTAAGTACATGTAGGATCTAAAGAGAATGCAAACCAAATGATAGCAGTGGCGCCTCTTCAGGGAAGTGGAGCTGGGAGAGGATGGGAAGTGTATGGCTGGCTGGCTGGCTTTCCCTCCCTCCCTTTCTCCTCCTCCTTCTTCTTCCCCTTAGGCTTCTTTTTTTTTCTTTCTTTTTTCTTTCTCTGTCTCTTTTTCTTTCTCCCTCCCTTCCTTCTTCTTCCTCTTCCCCTTTTCTTTCCTTCCCTCCGTTTCTCCTCCTCCTCCTTCTTCTTCCCCTTTGGCTTTTTTCTCTTTCTTTTTTCTTTCTCTCTTTTTCTTTCACCCTCCCTTCCTCCTTCTTCCTCTTCCTTTCCTTTTCTTTCTTTCTTTCTTCTTTCCCTCCCTCCCTCCATTTCTTCTCCTCCTCCTTCTTCCCCTTCATCTTTCTTTTTTCTTTTTCTTTCTTCCTCCCTTCCTTCTTCTTCTTTTTCTTTCTTTCCTTCCTTCCTTCCTTCCTTCCTTCCTTCCTTCCTTCCTTCCTTCCTTCCTTCCTTCCTTCCTTCCTTCCTCCTTTCCTTTCCTTTCCTTTCCTTTCCTTTCCTTTCCTTTCCTTTCCTTTCCTTTCCTTTTTCCTTTCCTTTCCTTTCTCTTTCCAATGAGAATATATTCATGATCTCTTTTTTAAAAATCCTGTAACATTTTTAAATGCTCGAGGGGGCATGTGGAGTTGTGTCAGACTGCATTCGGGGGACAGTGTTCGGAGCGAGCCCACGGCCGGCGTTTCCCTGTTCCTCCAGGTCACCCAGTACCTGCTCGACAAAGCCCTCATCATAGACGAAGACACGCTCTACGAACTGTCCCTCAAAATCGAGCCCCGGCTCCCGGCCTGAGGCTGGGCCGCCGCACCGTGCATGCCCCGCCCCGCGGCCTCCTGCCTCCTCGGGGCGCACCCAGACCGCCTCCAGCCTGCGAAGCCCCGGCCCTGGGCGGGAGCCGGACGCCGCAGACTCGGGGGGGGGGGGGGGCCGGTGAGCCGAGGGTGCGCTTCTCCGGGGGGCGCCGCGCCGAGCAGCCGAGCACCACCCTCCCCCGGCCCGCCCGCCGCCTCCGCTGTTTTCTGCCTCCGGAGGAGCGTCCAGAGCGGCTCCGTCTGCGGGGCGGGTGCTCGAGCAGCCCCGGCGTCCGGCACGTGCACGGTTCGGGCGCCTCCGAGCTCACGTGGGAGGAGCCGCACCGCCTGCAACTGCTGCTTTGGTCCCGAGGCAGCAGGCCCGAGGGCAGGGAGCGGACTGCGCATGCGTGGGCCGCGGGTGGCTGCAGGCGCGCCCTCGCACCTCCCCCGCTTGCCCCCTGCCCTCCCCACGGCGAAGGCGGATTTCTCTCTCTCTCTCTCCTTTTTTTTTTTTTTTTTTTTCTGATTTGCACAAACCATTTTTACGCTCACTGCAAATACTGGTTGTATTTTCTAGAACGTTGTTCAACAGGATTTTCTCTTGCAAACCCACACGTCCGTGTGCTGTTGGTAGATGGTCCTGCACCGGTCATCCTTGGTTTTCAATTTGGGGATACTTCTGAGGGAACACATTCCATGTGTGGGGGGACGGGGACCCACTGCTCAACAGCGCTTGCATCAGAAGACGCAGTGCAGGGGTCGCCGCTGCCCGGGCCGGGAGGTGAGGCGGCTTTTTCCAGGATTGATGGTGGTTGCAGAAATAGGGCTATCTCGCGTTCACCTCCCTCTTCTCTTCTCAGGGAGAGCTCTGCTTTACAAGAAGAAACAGCAAAATGCAGAGTTCTTGGTACCTGAGCCTATTGCACCTGCTGGTTTCTCTTGGAGGCATGAAGTATATTGATGCTGACAGTGAAAAAAAAAATTGACCTGTCTAGCTGTTTTCCCTCCTTCTTTGCACTTTAATTCTCTTGTTAGAACTAACGGCTGCCTAATACGTTCAATGTGCCAGCTCGTAAGACCCAGTGGAAGCACTAGCGTTCCTAATGTACCATAGAAGTGGAAAATGTACATTTTTCCTGCATGGTAAGGGCCATCTCTGTACATAACTATCTAGTGAGATACCAAGTAAGTAAAAGGAACTATTTACAATATTTGAAGACCATTCCAAAAAATATTTTCAATAGCTCATATTAGCCAACAGTGTAGCACTAAACCCCAGGAGGGTTACTAATGAATGCTTTCTTTTTCTCTTTTTTTCTTTTTTTTCTTTTTTTAAAGTTGCTTGTTTGTTCTCTTTAGTTTCAAATAAGAGGTTGATGCATCTTGATGCATGATAAGAAGCATGGGTTGTCTGGATCCTAACTGCATAACGTGCAATTTATTTCACAGTGTTCACAAACTGAGGGTTTGAACTAATATATGTCAACTGCAAGACCTCAAGGTCTTGCAGAAGAAAAGGAAAATAAAGGTTAACTTTCCTGGCTCAAAAACACAGTCTTGGAAGGTGGACTAAGCCCAGGAAAAATCAGTGACAGCACCACACATATCATAGTTTCAGGCAAAACAAACATGTGGGAAGGTCCATGCGCTCTGCTTTGAAGCCCCCCAAAGTTTCCCAGGGGCGAAGAGGTCATTCTGTGTGCACTTTCCCGGGAAGTTTGGACCGTTATTTCTCTGACCCAAATGTTCCAGGGGCACTGCAGCCATCCTTACTAAAGAAAAATGAGAGACCGAGGAATTTCCAAATGCTCCTCCCCTTTCTCAGAGAGCCCAGGTTTCCTCAACCCAGTGACAAAGGTTTCTGGGGTTTTCCTGTAGAATGTTGTAAGCGCCCCCAGTGGTCAGCTATAGGAACCATCAATTGCTATGATGACCTTTAGTGTTTTATTGAATTACATGTCCCTCCTGCTTACTAGAGTCCGAAACCTTGCTGGAACTGCAAGAGAGAGAACTCTACCTCCAGGGGGGCTCCTTTTGATGACCTGCACCATTTCTGCACCATCTGGGATAAGAATGTGCATTCTAAAAAACCTCAATTTGGTCACACTTAAAATCGCCAAGAGCAACTTGTAGTGCTTTTGATTGTTAAGGCACCCATCCTCTTCGGCCTTTCAAGTGTGTATTTAGTGTTGCACTGTGCACTCCCAGCTGTGTCTGCCTATATTCCATTATATGAGACCCACTTCTAAGACTCAAAGGCAGGTCAGCCCCCAACAACCAAATAGCAAATACTTATATTATTGCAAAATTAACCTAGAAAATCAGAAGTAAAAAAGCCAATTTCATGCTTTCAGCTGAATACCCACATTTTGTACTGTCAATGAAATTACCTTGGGACTTTTAGGGGATGCCTTTCATTATTAGCTACGACATCCAGTTTTGCTGCAGGGACAAATCTCTTACTTAAGCCAATATATTATGTGACAGATTTAGGCATGAAGTAGAATGTTGTCACTTTTCCTTAGCATTTCTCTGAAGGAATCTAAAGAGAGAATTTTAAACTACTGTTGCAATATTTGCCAGTGGCTCTCACACAAAGCCCCCAGCACTGTTAGATTTTTTTTTTTTTTAATCTTAAAGCACTGCTTAAAAACAAATGAAACTCATAGAACCTGGATAACTTGGAAGAGAATCCGTTCTGGAGTATATGATGACAGACTAGCACCTCTTCTCTCACCATATTATAAAAGATATAGCCTTGGGTCTGCAATGATTGGGCCACTTTTTAAATTCTCAACTAAAAAAATAATGCGATAGAGGGCTTATTCCCCCCCCCCACCCCATTAACTTTTATTTTAAAATAAAGGATTTTCTTTAGCTTTTCTTTTAAAGTTCTATTTTATTCCCCCTGACAAAAAACTTTCTCTTTGCTTTAAAGACTTTTAAAATCCAACCTGTGAAGTTTATCATTTTTTTTTACTACTCTTGAAATGGGATATACTATATATGGGATATATATTACATGGTGGAATAAATTATATGTTATTTATGGCTAGAGAATAAAGCCAGGCTAATGTCCACAGCCAGAAGGAATAAATGAACTCAATTCACTTTCATTTCAGCAAGAGAGCAGATTGTAAGTTTAGATAGTGACTTGATTACAACGCCACTACGTGAATCCTGTTAATAAGACTTGAGTCAATGAAATCTAATCACAGTGTCATTTTTCCATGGCTGTGGGTGACTTAAAATTAAGGCAGGGCAGAGAGAGAGTAGAAAACAACCATTTTGTTATAGGTATAAACACATGGATGATGATTGAGATAATTATTCATTTTGGCTGCCACACAGCCTAAAATTAACATTAGGGTTGATTGTACTTGATCTCATCTGCCCAAGAAAAAGAAGAGATCTACTGGATGTTGAGCTACTGTCTTTTGCACAGCCCATGTCGTTTTTCCCTAGAAAAGCAGTTGTGAAAGAGCTGGCCAAGGTGCCCTAGCTCTGAGACCGAGACCCAGATGTCCACCTGCAAGCTGGGAAACCTTAGGCCAGTGCTAAAACAGCCTTGAGCCCATTTCCTGATCTGCAAAATGGAACTAATCTTGATTCCTGTGCTGCCTACCTCACAGGGCTGTCATCAGGACAACATGGGTTAGAGTGTGTAAACTGTAATGTGCTGTCCAAATGTGAGGTAACATGATTACCATCCTCAGCTCTCTTTGGCAGAGAATTATTTAAATGTATTTCTTTGTTATTTGTGTGTGTGTGATGGACAGACCCGTGTGTTACCTTGAGGAGCATAATATTTGTGTCCAGTAACTGCAAATCTCCTGACATTTGTGATTCTGACAGAGGGGTTTGTGCCGTGGCCTAACACTTTGCCAGGTGGGGTGTGCGTTATACCTATATGCAAATTAAATTTTGCCTTTCTTGATTCTCGAAAATCTCGTTAGTCTCTTCATTGATTTCTTTTTGCATTTTTCTACCTTGCCTTCTTTGTAGCAATGGGCTTCTTCGGATATTCTTTTACTTCTAAAGTTCAGGAGAAAGTAAAGTTTGGAAGAAGCCTATGTTGCAAGGCACTAAAATATCAGAGATTGGGGGGATCCTTAGAAAACATATCAAGGGTCATTGAGTCCCACTGTCTTTCAGTGCTTGAACCTTTCCTGTGACACCCCAGCCCACGTTTGACCACCTTTGACCACCCCCAGGCACACAGAACTCATTGCTGCCCAAACAGCTCGGTTCATCTAATGGCAGCTCGATACTCATGAACAGGCCGAGTGCTCAGGGGACATGGCCCAGCCATCACTCTGACCTTGGATGGGCTACTGAGCCAACTGAGGCTAAGTTCCTCACCTGTGAAATAAGACGCCTATCTGTCCTCAGAATTACTGCAATGGCCAAGTGGATTTATGTCAAGTAGATGAAGGCGTGCTAACGTTTTGAGCCAAAGAGAGCATGGTGCAGCTGTCACCCACAAGTGAGAACTGAGGGAAGGAGGACTTTGGGTGTCTTCTGCTTCATTGGCTTTCTTTTCCAATTCTGAAATGAGCCATCAGGCTGGTGGGGATTCAGGAACCCAGGTTCTTCTTAACTTATGAGTTGGCCATCCCGCAGAGCATTGCGCTTGCCTGCTGCCACATGCAGAGCCCTGGACTCAGGAACGCGAAAGAGAATAAGCCCAGGACTGATTCTGATTCCCTCTAATGCAAGTGTTACGGCAGTGGCACGCCTCACTTCCGTTCCTGTCTGTATGACGAGAGTCAGCCACGTGGCCACACTGGCTACCAGGTGTGGATTGAACCCCCGAGCTTGGAAGAGAGTCGGCAGTGATGAGAGGGGGATAAATGACATATAACAGGGTCATGTTTGAGGGATTTTTGGAACTGTGGAATTATGTTGAGTCCCTTGTAGAGGTTTGCCAATCCGCTCATACTCTTCAAGATGGCCAGGTCCCCAACAGATCGTCAGCACCCCCTTTTCTTAGCAACATGCCCACTTCTCTTCTGACCTTACTTACTAATGTAAAACTGTCCTGTAAGAGATGAGGGGTTGGGGTAAGGGGGGAGGGGTTGGGGAGGGGGGAGCACCAAATGTCCTT